CTGATGGAGATTCTGGGCAAGCTGCTCGTTGGTCAGAGTCTCTGGGGTGCGGGCGCGAGGACGAGGAGGCATCGCACAGCTACTACAGCAACAAGGTTACCATAAAAAGCAAGCAAGCAAGCAAAACAGAAATCAACACACATCTCACCGCGCAACCTAGCGTCCTAAGCCTAGCACTTAGCTTCTTAAGGTCGCTTAGAGGTCTCAAAACACACTTAAACACTTAGAAAGTCTAGACTTAACCCTTCCTAGGCTCTAAACCTAGGCTCTGATACCAACTGTAACACCCCCCAAAAAAAACAAAAACAACAAGACTTAAAACGAGTCTTAACACCAGCAGATCAAGCACAAAACTAGCACAACGGAAGATAAAAGATAACTTGGATATAAGAAATCCAAAACCGGGGTGTTATGCCACGTATACCACACTTGGCATACGCTAAGGCGACAATCTGCAAGCGTAACTACAATCCCAAAACATCCAACTACAACTAACTAAAAACATGGGCACACAGGCCTCAAAACACGGTCTAACGAAACAGGAGCTATTCTACCGGCTCTAGACATCGCGCTCAACACCTGAAAGATACAAAGATAAACATCGGGGCGATGCCCCGTCAGCGAAAGATGCTGGTAACCCACCAATACCGTTAAGTATCATAAATAGGCAGATATATAATATGAAAACCATTTTCGAAACGGAATACATATATATAAGTCAAAAGCCAAGATCAAAAGACAACGCAAGACTCACCACTCACAACGACAACACCGGGAACACGTCCCAACCACAAAGGACAACCACACACAACGATAAAGACTCATGCAACGGCAACACATGTCAAAACACCACAAGCCTCCATGACTAAACACGTCACGAGAGAAGAGAACTCACCACACACCGGCTTTACAAGCCCTCGTGCCATCACCCATCACGAGTTGATATGCCTTCCTTATGCCCTGTTCCAACCTTATGGCTACCCCCATCCTTGTACCTTCTGTGCCACCCATTTCCTCCGGAAAACCCTTATACAGCCAAGTCCAACCTTATTCCTCCGGGACCGTCGTCCCCCACCTATAACCACCAACGAAAACCCACCAATTCACGGCAACACATGCCCGGATAACACAATGTTATCCCCCAATCACGTGGACTCAGCCACCTCCATAAATTCACGGCACGGCCACCACGACGACCGCTGCAATATCTTGGTGACTATTGTCCCATACCACTAATCGTGCAATCCAGGTAGAGCCACACACGCACCACCACTCACTCGAAACAATCAACGGATTGCAAGAAAAGGTACGAAACATACTCACAAGAGAAGGGTCATCACCCAACGACAACAACGACGCTAGCATTACGATAATAACTAGCAAGCTCAACAAAGAGGAACCTCAAGATAGTTCCGAGGAACACACAAGACACCACACGGTTCAACGAAACACAAGGTTGAACACTTAGCACGATACAAAACACCAAAGATCCTACATGGATACCTATCGAGAAGCTCTAGACCTACGAAACATCAAGAAGACGCTCAAATAGATCCACTAAAGAACAACGGGAGGTCAAAAGATCAAAGACCGAGACAAACAAAACACGGGAACAAATCCCATCACCACACCAACCATGTACCCCGCGGGTGGACCCACGGGTAGTGCCCCACCCGTGGTTCTGCCCGCGGGTACATAACCCACAAGGCAACGCTCCCCGCGGGTAGGCCGGCGGGTGGTGCCCCGCCCGCCGTTCCGCTCACAGGTACGACCCTGTACCACAACAAATCCCTTCGGGGATTTTCTCCTCCAACCACAAATTCAAGTCCAAAACATGCCAAATCTCACCAAGCACAACAAAATGACTTGAACCAAGGAATATGCCAAGCAATGGCACAAAGGAAACCTAAACACAAGCTCTAGATATGCAATATCACAAGATAAATGCATATCTCACATTTCACAACAAAACACAAGTAGAAGCCAAGAAATCATATATAGGTAAGCAAAATAGGTTTTGTAGATCATGGGTTACCTCTTGAAGACCAAAAGACTCTTCTTACACCACAACAAGCTCACTAGCCAAACCCACTTCAAGATCAAACCAAAAGATCATAAAGATCCAACCTTTAACAAAAAGACAACTAAGAAGGAACCAAAAAGACTAGACAAGCTTAGATCTTACCCTTCTAGATGCCAAAATAGAGGAAAGCTTGAATCTTGGAAGCAAAACTTGGAATCTTGACAAAGGCTTCTTTTGGCTTGAAGAACAAGCTACTCTTGTTTTCTAGAGAGAAGATGGAGATATTTTCTAGGAAATGTAAGGCATGAAATGAAGAAGTCTTCTAGGTTTATGTTACAAAGAACTAGCTCATGGTGAAAAGACAAGGTTACCCTTACTAACTTTCAAAAAGTGTAAGGAACAAGGGAACTCCTCTCAAAGCACAAGGTACAACACCACTTAAAGATTGACTAGTCAAATTCTAGTCCTTGAGTATCAAAAATCTGGATTTTAGGAATCAATTCCTCAAAAGAAATAGAATTAATTACTAAATTAATTCATGGCTTGGAATGTGGATTTTTGGGGTGTCACACCATCGGCATTTTCATTTCTTCAATTCTCTGAGTATATGGCTTAGTGTAGGTATATGAAGATTGTCTTCCCTCGAGCTTCCCTTTAATTGCTCCCATGATGTAGTCGTTCAACTGCTCGACGGGTTTCATGCCCTCAGAAATTGGAATACTCTTCTCGGCGGGTGGTGGACGAGAGATTGTCTCTTCCATTCCTGGCCTACTTTGATGGTGCGGGGACTCGACATCAATCTCATCTCCTTGGGTTTGGGGCTACTTCCCGAAAGCCCGACTTGTTTCGCCGTTTCTTCCGCTTTCAACCTTTTCGCTGAGCTCATTGATCCACCTTTCTTGGTTATGCATGAGTGCAGCTATCCCCTCGAGAGATTTAGTGATGTTTGCGAGTTGTTCCTCCACCGAAGCCGCGTTTGTTGTCGTAGCGGGCATAATTGTGTATATGTGATTCCATTCCGGTGAGGTTCTCCGCAGAAGTGACGACCGTGATGAACTTCCACTGCTCGGAGTTTTATTCGAGGGGATAGGGCTCACAGGACTCTTGTTGCTTGGAGCTCTCTCACTTGTAGGATTCTGGTCAGCAACAGTTTCCTTTGTAGAGGATGATCCTTTGTCATGTGCAGCTCTCCGTGACATAGTGGAGTTTCTGTCAATCCTTTGGACGATGTGGCGGGCAATGTCCTGGGCCTCGTGGAGCTGCACCCCCCTAGGTTCTTCACTCGGCATCGAGTCATTGCTCCTCCCACGCCTTGGCTATCACCGGAACCGGCCGCAGATGATGCCCTGGAGCGGGTAGCCTGAGCATATGTCATCTTGGAGGAGGGATTTCTTGATGCCATTTAGATTCCTTCCTTGTAGAGCTCGCGAATCAACAGTGAAGAGATGAGAGGCAGAGTTGTCCCACTGGGTGTGCCAAAATCTGTAAACACAAAAATGCAAACTTTGTATATATTCACAAAATTCCGTGTACAGCGTGTGTATAATTCAATGCAGGTACAAAATCTCTGTCTAGTCCTCTGATTCTTCACTGACGTTATCTATGGAAGTGCCTCCGGGATTCAAGTAGTGTAGCCTCCGGGATTCAATTGGCGCGTGCCTCCGGGATTCAAGTAGCGTAGCTTTCGGGATTCAAGTGGCGTAACTTCCAACAACGAGCGTCAAGAATTTAGAAGTAATCAACCCTGCAAAGTTTCAAAACACATGCAATGGATTCAAGCTGCTTTAAGATCCTCAAATGCCTTCAAAAGACGTCAAGATCTTCGAGACAATCAATTCTGCAAAGCTCCAAAGTACCTGCAATGGATTCAAATTGCCTGCAAAATCAACAAAAATGCCTTCAAATCTTCAAGCGTTCTTCAATGCCTTCAAGCTCTTCAAATGCTCTCAACTCCTTAAGTCTTCAAGCTCTTCAAGCTTTCAAGTGTGTTTTGGAATGAAAACGAAGGCCCTATTTATACTAAAAACTTAACCAAAATTCCTCAACCAACTCCCCTTTTTAGTTAACTAATTAATTAATTAATTAATTAGGAAAATGAACCTTGTCCAAGATCAAGTCTAGGTTCATTATCGTATAATCAAATTCAAATTCAAATTAAATCATAATTATCTAATTCAAATATAATAAAATTAATATTATATTTAAATTATAATTATAATTTAAATTCAAATATGAAATGGGCTTGGGCCAACTAATTAATTAATTCAATGGCCCAAATCAAATCTAATTGGGCTAATTAGATTAAATTAATTTCCATGATCCAATTAATCAAATTGGCCCAATCATCAATCTCAACATTAGCCCAATAACACTTTAGTCGGTCCATTTATCGGGTTCAAATTTTTGGTGTCTACAACATCATCTGCATCATCATATCTAGGTCCACCTACTTGGAGAGCTAGATACCTTAGATGAGTTAGTAAGCTAACTTCAGACAAAAATGATTGGTACACCCTGATTCCTTCTAAATCCAAGATTGTGAGATGTTCAAATATTTTTGCAATCCATGAGGCATTATAAATAAAGGGTGTAAAATGATGGAAAACCAAAACTGTGTGAATAGAAGAATTTCGTGGTACCAATTCAAAAGCATTATCTGATGTCGAATGCATATGAAAACATATTCGATGTGGGATAAAATTCAGAGTTGGATCCCACTTCTTTTTCATATTAATTATCTTCAAGGAAATTTCTTCTCTAGCTTTTGTTAAGCAAAAGTCACGTACCAAATCATGAACCGTGCATGATACGATGCGACCATCATAATTCTCTCCAGACACCATAATTAGGTTACTACTAACTAGATGGTTTAAGTAATCCTCTGCCTCATCTTCTACTCTCCCTTTATCTGTCATTCCTATGATGAATCCTTCATATATCCACAGTTCTATTAATTAGTTTCGGAACTTCAATTTTTTCATCCTTTGGGAATGCAGTAAAGTAAGCATGGTTTCAAATGATCTGATAAATACTTATAACTAAGCTCTATCGCATCATTGCTTTGTATTCCGTCTCCAAATGCAACATGTGAGTTTAGAGTAAGAAGAAATTCATGCCACATTTGCTCACACTTTTCAACTTTTTCAAGAACACCCGCTATCAAACCAATTGTCAAAGGTAATCCCCCACATTTTTTAGATATTTTTCTTCCAACATTTTCAAGACCTTCAGGACATCCCTTCCCTTTAAATAACTTCACATGCAATAATTTCAAACTCTCATCAATAGTGAAGAAAGGAAGACGACAAATATGTTTGGCATCAGAAACCACACTTTCTTGTCTGCTTGTTAAAACAATTCTACTTCCATTGTCACATGAGGGAAAAACTCTATTCAACTCTTCCCATGCTTCCTCACTCCAAATATCATCCAACACTATGAGGTATCTCCTTCCCATAAGGCTTTTGCGAAGCTCTTCAGCTACATTGTCAATCTCTGTCTTGTCGCCACAAACATCATTATATATTTTATTCAACAAGTTCTTACAATCATATTCTTGAGAAACAATACACCACGCACGCTTGTCAAAGTGGTTGGCTACATTTTTCTCCTCATAAACTTTCTTGGCCAGAGTTGTCTTTCCCAACCCACCCATGCCTATAATTAAAACAACTTCTCTCTCCTTCGACCCATAAATCAGTTGTTTTATGATTGTTTCTGCTTCCTTCTTGAAACCCACAACTTTTGGAATAGAGATTCTTGGCATCTTTCTGATCTCAAAAAGGTTACTTTACGGTGTATTGTGTCTAGAATTATATTATAAGGTTTGGTTAGAAATATATTCAAATTTTTCTTCAATCGTAATAAAAGAACAAAGTAAGAAAGTGTTACATTATGAGAGGCAAAACCCTTGATTAAGGACATGATGAAAAGAGATCATAGCACAGCAACAGTTATACACCCAAGTTCTTGCAAGGTGGATTCGAGTCCAATATACACAATTTATATACTGAATGTTTACAATTTATATATTGAATTTGAATCGTGAACATTTAGTATGTAAAATTGTGAACATTCAGTATGCAAATTGTGAACATTCATTATGTTAATTGGTTATTTTTGGACCGGGGTCCACAAAATAATTTGTCATAGCACAGAGAGTATTTAAATTAATACGGAGTATTAAAGTTTTTACTTCTTATGATATATAATCTATCTTTAAGCAATATATTGGGGGACTTTAGTGAGAATTACCCTTGTAGTGTGGATATTTATTCTTGTGATAGATACAGTACTGAAAATTATGAAATTTTTGACCACCTGAAAGTGATCTTAAATTGAGTTAATACCAAAAAGTGGTCGGAAATAGCAACAAAGGTTTTTCCGGATACCAAAAGTGGTCGGAACAAGACTTTTGACTTGATTTAAGTTCACTTTCAGGTGGTCGGAAATTTCATAATTTCCAGTAGTGATAATAAAATACTTTAATTAATTTCACTAAAATTCATAGCAACAAGAGCTTACCAACTAACATTTTGTAACTTGTAAGTGCGCACAAACTTTAATCTCAAGATGAACACTTTGATCGAGTTGATTGAAAGAACTAACTTGTCAAAGATTACAATTTGCATATATAAATTTACATATATAAATTTAATTTAATTAATAAATATAAATTTAATAAATTTGATAACAATAATAACTTAAAAATTAAATTAATAATTTAAAATAAAAACAAGATTTTTAAAAAGTTAAACTAAAAATAGAAAAAAAAAATTAAAAAAGAACCTGGCCGTTGCCAAAGTTAAAATGATTTCAGAGTGGTCGCCACTCCGCCAGTTGGAGGCCACTCTGAAACGTCATGGCGAACACGTGTAACACACGCGCCCGCTAGGCAGAAGGGTGAGACGCACTTACGCGTCTCACCCCTTGTTTATTATTATTTTTTTTAAATAAAAAAATTTATGACAAAATTTTTTATATTGCAGGGGAAAGATTCACCTTAAATTTTGTCTTCCCATTTGTTAAAAAGTCATCCATGTGCATTTTACTGTTCTAAAATTAGGGAATGAATCTCCTATTGGGAATGAATCTCAAAAGCTGAGTTTGAAAATTGATGTGAGATAGCCGAGTTTTGCCTTTATCCCTGCGTGCGGTAGATGTAGCCCACTTAGAGCATCCCGACAAATTATGTTGTGCATCCGTATGCACCATGCATGGTGCATACGTGCACCATGCATGGTGCATACGAATGCAAAAACGACGTCGTTTTGCATCAAAACGCGCGTCCTACTTAAAAAAATCAGTTTCGATTCCCAGCAACAACATTATGTTATTCATTTTTTAGTTCATTCATTCTGGATGTATAGTTATGCAATTCTGTATGTATAGTTATGAAATTCTGGATGTGTAGTTATGAAATTATGGATGCGTAGTTATGCAATTCTGAATTTATAGTTATGAAGTTATGGATGTGTAGTTATGCAATTATGGATGTATAGTTATGCAATTACGGATGTGTAGTTATGCAATTCTGGATTTATAGTTATGAAATTATGGATGTGTAGTTATGTAATTCTGGATTTATAGTTATGAAATTATGGATGTGTAGTTATGCAATTCTGATTTTTTTTTTAAAGTTAGACGTCAAAACGACGTCGTTTTTGTATCCGAATGCACCATGTATGGTGCATACGGATGCACAGCATAACGACCCCATTAGCAACTTTTGGATCATATTTTGAGAAAAAAAGTGTGAGTTGGTGGAGAGAGAGGAAGGGAGGTTCTCCTGCAAGGTGGAGATTTTTGTGGGCCCCACTATGAGAGAGAAAATTATGGAAAAGCAAAAGAAACGCGTGTTTCGCGGACAGATGCTGTCAGCCAGGCGCGTGTGGCACATGTGCCAGCAGTTTACAAGTCTCACTTTTTTAATTTATTTTTTGTTTCCTGCCACTAGCAGTTTATTTTGCTTTTTTTTTTTTTTCTTTTTCTTCTCTCCCTCATCTCTATCCTACATGGCTTCTTAATTCTTGTGCAAGAAAACAATCTATGGAGGATTCCGTTAGAGCATCCGCATTAGTTTGGGAGATTTGGGGGATAATGTAAGAGTGATTATGAAAGAGAATGTGGGAGGCGAGAGAAAAAAAAAAGAAATAATAATAACAAAAACTGAAATTAAAATACAAATTAATAAAAAACTGTTTCCGCGCCACACGGGCGCGTGGAGTGCACGCGCCCGTGTAGCCATGGCTGTGTGCAAACGCGCACAACCATTGTTAACTTTTTATTTTTACTTTTTATTTTTTTCCTGACATTATCTTCATATTTGCAGGACAAATATCTTCAAAAATAACCCCACCCCACATTTGTTATTAACCCCATCCAAGATAATTCATCTGACAATAACTCCATAATAACGACTGATGTGGATGCTCTTAGAGCATCTCCATCATAGAAGCATTCACAATATACAAGAAATGTTTGCCTACATGGAAGAGAGAGCCAATAGAGAGAAAGGAAAAGTCATCCCTGCAAGGGGTTGAGATATTTTTCTTCCAGAGAAGCATTGGTCGCTGTGCGCGTCAAGCATGCCTGACCAAGCTTTATATATATATATATATATATATATATATATATATATATATATATATATATATATATATATATATATATATATATATATATATATATATAGAATCCAGATCAGGTGAGGACCTAATCTTAGGTGAGGACGTGAGGACTAATCTTGTGCGTTTGTTATTTTTATTTGGATGGCCCAGATTTGAGTTCTTAAGATGACATGGATTGATCTTTTTTGGTAAAGTGGGGTAGTAGTGTCTTTTTCTATTTTTTTAAAGTGTGAACGCATGTGTAATCCTTGGCCAAATTGGTTTCCTATTTTCTTGGATCATCACCGTTGCAATTTGGAGCCGCGATTTCTTCATCTTTGATTGAGTGTTTGCCATGCAAACTAATCAGTATTTTGTATTTTTTTTCGCTCATTCTTTTGAGTATAATATTGTCTATATTCGGACTGTCGTGTATATGTACAAATGCCTGGGTAGTACGATTGTGCATTCGTGTGTGCTTGTTGTGCAACCTAGTGTTGTAAGTTGTGCACTTATAGGTTAGAGAGTTGTGCACTATAGCACATACTTCAGTGCATCGTAGGACATTGGGATGTCCACTGTATGAATTTTTTTTCGGGGATTGAATGCACAACAATAAAGTTATCGATGCACAACACTCAGTATAGGAATGCACATCTTTTAATAAGACTGATTTACCCTAAATTTATATTTTTTAATATTTTAAAGAGATTTGTTTCCTTAATCCGTGTGATTTGTTCCTTTTTAATCTCAGCCGTACATCATTCGGATTTAATGGTCTAGATCAGTCCTCACGTCCTCACCTAAGATTAGGTCCTCACCTGATCCGGACCCTATATATATATATATATATATATATATATATATATATATATATATATATATATTAATAAAAAAATCAGTTTTTTTTTCTCTCCCCTCCACATTCTCTTTCCTAATCACACTTACAATAACCCCTAATATCCCCCAACTAATATTGATGCTCTTAGAGCATCCACACCAGGGGAGAAAGTGTGGAGAATGCACTACTTTTAATATATTTAATGCTTACATGGATGAGAGATAACAAGGTGAGAGAAAATTGGGAAGCATCTGCAATGGTTGGGAAAATGGCAGCATGGTGGGACCCAGCAGGAAAAGGAGCAAAACGTGACAGCCAATCGTGGTTGTCACGAGTGCATTCAGCGGGCACCGACGCACTTGACTATGATTATTATATATTTTTTTTTTAAATCAGCTTTTGCTTGTTTTTTTTTTTTCTCTCTCTCTGTGACACACCAAAAATCCACATTCAATCTATGGATTAATTAAGAAATGAGTTAGAGTAGTTGGTAGAGCATGTGTTTGAAAATAGTAAAGGTTAAGGGTTCAAATCTTGGTATCAACAATTAGTTTTGAAGTGTACAGATGGTAGAATGGCTTGTGGTTGTTGTGTAGGCAGTGGGTTCCACTCTGCTTGTGTTAGCATACTTTATAGGGATCGAATCCTAGATGGAGCATTTTGTTTAGGAATGGATTAAGCACTTTTTTTTTTAAATCCATGGATTAATTGAGTAATTAATCCTAGTTTATTTGAGAAATTAATCCCTAAAATCCTGATTTTTAATACTCAAGGACTAGTATTTGACTAGTCAATCTTAAAATTGTGTTGTACCTTGAGCTTTGAGGGGAGTTCCCTTGTTCCTTACACTTTCTAAAGGTTAGTAAGGGTATCCTTGACTTTTCACCAAGAGTTAGTATTGTAACCTAACCTAGAAGACTTCTTCATTTCATTCCTTACATTCCATAGAAATTAGCTCGACCTTCTCTCTAGAAAGAAGTGTAGCTTATTCTCCAAGCTAAGTTGAGACCCTTGTCAAGATTCCAAGTTTTGCTTCCAAGATTCAACCTTTCACCTATTTGGGCATCTAGGAGGGTAAGATCTAAGTCCATCTTGTCTTTTTGGTTCCATCTTAGTTGTCTTTTTCTTAAAGGTAGGATCTTTATGATCTTTTGGTTTGATCTTGAAGTAGGTGTGGAAAGTAAGCCTTGTGGGGAGATTTTGGTGGTGTAAAGTGAAGTCTTTTGGTCTACAAGAGGTAACTCATGCTCTACAAAACCTATTTTGCTTACCTATATGTGATTTCTTGGATTCTACTTGTGCTTTGCTATGAAATATGAGTGTTTATGCATTTGTCTTGTGAAAATGCATATCTAGAGCTTGTGTTTAGGGTATCTTTGTGCCATTGCTTGGCATTTTCCATGATTCAAGTCATTTTGTTGTGTTGGGTGAGATTTGGCATGTTTTGGACTTGAATTTGAGTTTGGAGATGAAAATCCCCGAAGGGATTATTTTGCACAGGTGCATGTACCCGCGGGCGGAACGACGGGTCGAGCTCCACCCGCGGGGAACGTAAGCCGGTGGGTGTGTACCCGCGGGCAGAACCACGGGTGGGAGCCTACCCGTGTGTCTACCCGCGGGGAACACAGTGGTGTTGTGATGGGATTTGTTCCCCGTGATTCTTTTGACTCGGTATTTGATCTTTGGACTTCCCGTTGTTCTTTTGTGGAACTATTTGAGTGTCTCCTTGATGTTTCGTATGTCTAGAACTATATGGTAGGAAGCCATGTAGGTATTTGGTGTCTTGAATCATGCTAAGTGTTCAACATTGTGTTTCGTTGGACCGTGAGGTGTCTTGTGTGTTTCTCGGAACTATCTTGGGTTTCTCCGTTGATAAGCATGCTAGTTCGGTGTCTAAATCCTAGCGTGTGTGTTGTTTGTAACTTCCGATTGGTTGATGATAACTTGGGTTATTCATCGTTGTTGTTGTTGGGCTGTGACCCATTCCTTGATTGAGTATGTTTCATACCTTCATTGTGATCCATTGGTTGATTCCTGTTGAGGTGTGGTGTGTGTGGCTTTACCTGGATTACACGATTAGTGGTATGAGACACTAGTCACCAAGGTATTGCAGTGGTCCTCGTGGTGGCCGTGACGTGATTATGGAGTTGTGGCCTGAGTGATGGGTCCACGTATTTCTTGGGAAGGCATGTGTTGTCGTGTGTGTGTACGGTACCTTGTGTACTATGAAATTGGTGGCTTTGTTGGTGGTTTGTTGGTGGGGGACGACGGTCCCAGAGGGAAAAGGTTGGACTAAGAAGTACAGGGGTCCTGGAGGTAATGGTTGGAAAGAAGATACAAGGTTGGGGGTAGCCATAAGGTTGGAACAGGGCATAAGGCAGGCATACCAACTCGTGATGGGTGATGTCGCGAGGGCTATTGTAGCCAGTTTTGTGTGATCTTATCTTGTGACGTGTGTAGTCACAAGGGTAGGTGTGACCTTGGCATGTGTTGCCGGTTGTGTGTGTCTTGTTCTTTCGGGTTGTGCTTGTGGTCTTGGGATGTGATCCCGTGTTACTTGTGAGAGTGTTGAGTCTTGTGTTGACTACTTCTCTCGGTTTTGCACTTATATATATATATATATATATATATATATATATATATATATATATATATATATATGTATTCCGTTTCGAAAATGATTTTTGTATATATACCATATCTATGTATGATACTTAATGGTATTGGTGGATTACCAGCATTATTCGTTGACCGGACGTCGTCCCATGTTTATGTTTGTGTTTCTACAGGTGATGTCTAGTCGAGCGCGATGCCTAGTGCCCGATAGAGTAGAACCTTTCCCTTGTTGTATGGCCTGTACGCCGGTTTGGTTGTTTTTAGACTTATGTACTTTTGGATAGATGTTACCATGCAGATTTTGGCCGTAGCGCCTGACATGTTGTTAAGCGTGGCATAACACCCCCGTTGGATTCTTTATTATCCAGTTATCTTTTCTTCCGCTGTGCTAGAGTTCTGTTTTGATATTTTCATGAGTTAAGACTTTTCTATAGCTTGTTTTTGGGCGGGGTGTTACATTCTCCCCTCCCACATTTTCTTTCCTAATCACTTTTACATTCTCCCCCTAATATCCCAACTGATAATGTTGCTCTAAGAGCATCCACACCAGGGGAGCATAATGCACTACTTTTAATATATTTAATGCTTACATGGATGAGAGATAACAAGATGAGAGAAAATTGTGAAGCATCTGCAATGGTTGGGAGAATGGCAGCATGGTAGGACCCAGTAGGAAAAGGAGCCAAACGTGACAGACGTGGCCGTCACAAGTGCACCCAGCGGGCGCGTATATATATATATATATATATATATATATATATATATATATATATATATATATATATATATATATATATATATATATATATATATATATATATATATTAAATCCTTGTTTGCTTTTTTTTTTTTCTCTCTCCCCTCTCACATGCTCTTTCTTAATCACTTTTTCATTCTCCCCTAATACCCCCAACTGATAATGTTGCTCTTAGAAAAAGATAGCTTATGTGGAGGAGAGAGAAGAAATAGAGAAAAGAGTTGGGTATCTCACTATCTCTTGCAAATATGATTTTTTGTTGGGGCCGTCAGGAGAGAGAAAATGGGATGAGAGGTTGGGTTTAATCGATATATTGTGAACAATATTGGTTCACAAAGAATGGCACATTTTTTTATTTTTTTATTTTAATGTAATGAAACTAACATCGTTACATATTAACGGAGCCCGTATTTTTGGTGTGTTTATTTCAAAATGAAACTATAATGTATCTAAATGAAACTATCTCACATTGGAAAACTTTACTTCTCAGGAAGTATATATAAATATATCTTTTAGAAAATAAGCTACCATAAATTGGCAAGCCTCATACAGTATGTATAAGTAATTACAATTAGTGTTTTATGGGAACTGAAGTGAGAATTACCCATTGTGAGAACTGAGAACTGAACTTTGAGTTGATTGAAAGAACTAACTCGTGAAAGCTAAGATTATAATTTGCTTGTATTTGTCCAAAATTAGATAAAGACGAAAGGAAAAGAATCCTCAGATTCGAACTAACCAACCATTCATAAACTAATTGAATGAACATTACAGAGGCATGCAACTACTTATCTATATACAACAGCAAAAACAAATAAGAAAACAAGTGGGGAAATAAATAACTTTACTAACAATTTAATATTATATTTAAAAATCGACTTACCTCTGATCTGTAAGTGAATGGGCAGATAATTGAACTTCAGGGCGACTATCCAATATATATCTTTAAGAACACTGCAGATTACTTGAAGTAGAAAAAATGGAAAGAAATGGAGATAAGAGAATAAAGGAGGGAGAAATTAAGGATTATATTTTATGAGAGATTGATTTTTGGTGTTAAATGATTGAGGGGAAGACTTTAATTTAAAGGATGGAGGTCAATTGTGTGGACGCGTCATCACTATGCGAAGAAAATTTGTTTGAGAGATGCTGTGGCTGGTCCACTCCGCGATGAAATATTTGTTGAGCCTTATTAGATGATCAAATAACAAATAAAAAAAATGCTCCAATCATTATATGATTAATCAAGATCCATCTTTTAATATCGATCACTGGTCTAAGATATTTTTTTAATATATTAAAGATACATTTATTTGAGTATTGAATTTATATTATTTGATATACTATCAAATAACAAACATTCTGTATACAAATAGTGTATCTTCCATATTAAAAATTGAACATTTATTATCTAAAAAAATGAACATTTATTTATGGTAATTGTAATGTAGATTATGGTCCACGTATAATTAATTTGCCACATGTGTATATGTGTGTGTGTGAATAGTACTAAGAAAAACACCAAAATCATCCCTATCATAATTAACTCACTGAAAGATTTCTGATAGGGATTATATGATATGTGGACCATGGTCCACACAATGTTATCTGGACCATAACATAAAGTACATTTTTAATATATTAAATGTACATTATTTTTGTACTAAATGTACATTATACAATATAATGTACACTCAGTACAAAAATAATGTACATCCCCTGAATACAATGTACATTATTTTTGTGTTGAATGTACATTATTTTTGTACTAAATATACATTATTTTATAGTATACAAAATATGGTCCACACAACTTGTATGGACCATGGTCCATACAATAGTGATTGATACGAGTATGACTAGGCTTTCTGAGTCTGATCGATTATAAGTCAACATCGCAAATCTAATATGGACTCTTTCCAAGTCTCTTGGCCCAAACTAACTTGAAAATTTCTATTTGCCGTCCTCAGACTACTACCTAGCTAATAGACATTAGACAATCCAAGTGTACTTCCCCGGCCAAAGGAATAGTCAATCACGTCCCGTCACCTTTCCAGTACCTCCAAGACACTAGGCATAACCCCTTTGACTAGCAAACCATCAACACCCTGCACGTGTAAGCCATGCCAGGGTTTTGACATGTGTCTCATAACCTACCTATATAAAAAGCATACTGACCAATTCTTTAGACTGCAAATGGACCGTATATTGTGGAATTTACCTTAACAACTCCTATAAAATTAAGGGAAAAAATACAAATAGGCCATTGAACTATTTGGGGCTTAATAATTAAGACACCGAATTTGAATAAGCTCCAAATTGATCTATGAACTTGTAAAAAAAATGCAATTGGCATTTTTAACAGGTAAAGAACAAGTTACTGTTGACTAGGATGCCATGTGTAATTTTTATTTTTTATTCTATTATTTTTATTATCCTAATCATCATTTGACCAAAAAAAACCCTAAGCATTTGACCCTCTTGACCAAGACTATTGTCAAAATAAACCATACTTCTTCTCTTCTTCGGAGTCTTCGTTGTTTTGTCGCGAACATCAAATCGGCTCCGATCTCTCCGGCTCATCTTCACTTTTCTCCGGAAAACTCTACAATAAAGTGAGAAAAGCTCGAGATGAAGAGGTAGTCAACCATCTGAATATCTTAATGATTTTTCCTTTTAATCATTGAACTACAAATTTTCTAAGCGCTATTTTCTCGAGTTTATCTGAATAATAAAGTATGCAGGAAGCAAGGCGAGCAAGAGAAGAGGGTGAGAAGAGGAGAAGAGAGAGGGATCATCACTACAAGCGCCGAAGAAGGGTATAATTCTTATTTTATCTGGAGTGAATTCCATTTTTTGTCCTATTGTTATATTGGTGTTTCCAATTTTAGTCCACCTCAATTTTTTTTGCCACTTTATGACCACTATTATTGAAGGTGTTCCACTTTTAGTCCACCGTTAATATTTTCATCAAGAGGCCATGTAATCTAGGGGTATTTTGATCTTTCTTCTTATCCAAGACTATGTTTGACTAAAAGAAATGAGAACATTAAATGTAAAACCTAAGAAACCTCGCCGGCCCACGTTGGAACGAACGAAAAGATGTAGCTTTGGCTTCCCATTCTCGTTGTTCGAAGAGCCATCTTCGAATATTGGAGGAGGACGACGAAGCGTCTGGATTAAAAGAGAAGAGACAACCATAAAAAGACCAAAATACCCCTGAATTATACGACCTCTTGACGGAAATATTAACGGTGGACTAAAAGTGAAACACATTCAATAACAGTGGTTGTAAAGTGGCAAAAAAAATTAAGGTGGACTAAAATTAGAAACGCCCCTATAACAATAGGACAAAAATGGAATTCACTCTTTTATGTGTCTTTACTCTTTATCTCTCCATAATTGTTTATAACATTTTATGATGTAAACTCAAAAATTGTGTTATTTTCATTTCAGAACTGCCACTTGTCTTGGTTGTCTGATTTTTTTTTTTTCCCTTACTCTTTGCATTCCTTATTTTTTTCTAATAATATAGGATTAACTGGTTCCCTAAATGTAATGTAGATTTCATCATGTGGTTTGTTTATAATATTGTTGATATGGATTGAGTGTTGCAATGTGCATACATGAGCATTATAGCAACTTCATGATTTGCTTGCATTTTTACTTAAGTAGTGTAGTTCAAATGGTATCTTCAAGTTGTATCATATTTGAAAAGGAGCCAAGAAATTGTTCTGTTTTTTGTGTCCTACCTTTTCTGAACCTGTTCTGGTCTAAGGTATGGTTATGCTTTGTTTAGGAGTTTTAACTAGTTATGTATATTAGGTGTGGTTTCATGACTTCAATATTTTAACAAGATTGAACAAATGCGCCTATAAATAGCGGCATGAATGCCGTTATACTCAAAACATCTTACAGACTATTGATACAATTTATAGTAAGAAGGCTTGTAGAGTACAATGGTGCATGGCGGTGATACTGCCTACATTCATTGTGGAGCTAAGCCGTTGTGGTGCAGGATTAATATTTTCTCTTAGTTCAAGCATGCATTTATTCCCAATAGTAGTTGATTGCAAATTTTAAATTCTCCAACTTGTGAGATGAATCCTTGATTTTCTTCCCCACCCAACTTGCAATTACTTTTGGGTATTAGAATGAACATGTTAATTGGCAATCACAACTTATGGATTGTGCTTAATTGTCACTGTGATTTTAGAGCAGTATGCCAGTATATTAGCTTCTTTGCTATTCTGTGTGTCGGGTGTTCTGTGCCATTATTACATATATGAAATATGATGCTTTTCCCCCTAAAACTGAATTGAGTAAGATTTCCTTTACTTTGATGCATAATCCCTGCAAAATCATTTTGCATTTTTTGGTTCATTAGTAGTGATGCATTATCCATAAGTGGTACTGCTTTTGTTTTAGTTGCATTCTGAGCATTATAATTCATCCCTAATCCATCCCTGCAAAAACAGTTACTTTGTTTTTGTTTTAGTTTAATTTATCATCTCTTCTATAAAGTTGTATGTATTGCTGCCGTAAAAGTTGTAAAATTGAGTCTTAGACTTATTACCTTACAGTACCCTATAAGCTAATTTTATGTATTCCATTTTACCATTTTCAGAATGTATGACATAGTAGATTTGAGAATTCATCATGGGGGTAGTTTTGTGCAAGATCCAAGACTACGATATATAAATGGAGAAGTTCATGAAGTAACAACTGATCCTGATCTTATTTGTGTACCTCACTTGATGAAGTTCATAGCACATGAGAGATATGGTAAAGCCGAAAGTCTATCTTACAAGGCATTTTTGGTCCTAGACTTATAGTGGCTTGGACAATTTTAGTCCTCCATAAAAAAATGTCATTTTATGGACAAACTTATTGTAACGAGGACAATTTTGATCCTTTGTTTGTATTTTCGTTAAAGGGCCGTCTGGATGGAGGCAATTGTGTCAATTCAGCCAATCTCCATCTATAAGTTTCTCCCACAAGATGAAGTTCTCGGAGTTGGGATGTTTGCGCAGCGACGGTTAGAGTCTTAACCTTCTGATCTGGACAGGGCCACTGGAATCGTCGAAAGAGAAAAGCGTCTGGATTTCTGAGTGAAGCACCACTAGTTCTTTTTGGCCACTGAGATTCTTAGCATCCGTCGCGGCGGCGGCGGCGTTGGTGCTGCTCTCCGGCGCAACCAATCTCTTCTTCTTCGCGACCCTACCGCCGCCGCCGTTTAGTGCGGTTCTCTTCCTCATCTTCTTGGTCAAGTGCTGGATAAAGAAGGGATTCCTGAACGCCTTCACCACTGCACGAAGAACACAATATACTTCTGCCACTTCAACATCAAGATCTCCATTTTTGACCCACTTATGCGTCATTCCTGGCTGCTGCATCGCCTGGGGGTGATGTGATGCTTCCTCCTCTCTCTCCACCCTTATCACCTCCTCCTCCGCATGACCTATCTCTGTGACCGCCGCCGCCACCACCACTCTTTTCCCCTCGCCCTTCTCCTCCACCCAGAAAATTCGCTCCGCTTCCTCCTACACAGTACACCGGCCATCTTTCCACCACAAATCTCTGCCAGAAACCTCTCGAGTCCCTTCCTTCTTCCCCAAATTCGGTCAATAACAGGCTTGGATGCATCAATTTCTACCCTAGCCTTGGCCACATTTGGCCTCGTTCTTCTGATTGTCGCCATATCTAGGGTTACGAGTTTCCCAATTAGAGAACAAATACGAGAAATAATATTCAAATTAAAAGAGATGAATAGGAATTAGGTAATTCAAACCATACCAAAGCAAACGGCGAATCCCTGTGCGAGCTCCAATTTGAGGAAGAAAATTGGATCAAATCCACCAGTCATCTAACGATCAAAATTGGATTGAGTTTTGTTAAATTGACAGAAATGTGTAGGAACCGTTGGTAGGAAAACAAATAATAATAAAAAAAAATAAGATTATTATTTTCTTGAAAACAAGGGAAGGAATGATGGAGAAAAATGGCTAGTGTTTGGTGTTGGGTTTTTGCAAGAGTCAAGTGAGCACTCTTTCCTTAAAACCTTATTTGCCACCTCCCAAAGATGCTAGGAGCGTTGTGGCCTAGGCTTCCCAGGATAAAACTTGCTAGTGATTCAATGTTTGAGCACTCAAACAAGGAATCCGGCGAGCAAGACACGGTTATGAACACAGTAGGCTAAAGAAGGAGTAGAAGCAGAGAGGTTTTGAGGCTAAAAAAATAACTTTCTTGTTCTATATTTCTGTGTGTAAATCTCTACTTCCTCTACCCTCTCTTATATAGGGTTGAAGGATTAAAAAGCTTTTATTAGGGCACTTTTAAAGCTGGCTCTCCAACAACTATAACAGCAGGCCACTACCTGAGAATTAAATTCCGTAACAGATGAATTCAATCTCCTCAACAGTCAGAACTTTCGGTCTCACCCAGTTTCGGCCCGGTGCACCACAACCTCTCCAGACGACATTCGTGCCCCCAGGTGCCGGCGCACACGAGCTCGGGCTTGAATCAAGCCTTTTTTCAATCTCGTCTAGTTGGAATTTGATTTGCACCCCCCCCCCCCCCCCGCGCGAGAGAGCCTCTATGCTATACAATTCTACAAGCTTCAAAAGAGCTCTTGTATATAAGGGGGCAAAATCTTCATTCCAAAGCAATGTGGGACAAAAGCTCACTTTTTCCCTTCATTTTCCAACTCAAATGGGTCTACTTTGAGAATCAATATCTCATACATCCATTATCCGTTTTGAGCGTACAATATATCAATCTCTTCGTCTCACTATGAAGTACCCGAATCCACTTTGACCCGACCCAAATCAGAAGTGTACCCCACTGATAATTGTACCACAAAATAGCCACTTAACATGCCATTTTATGCCATTTTAAGCTATTTTTTCCAACAATCCCCCACATGAATGAAAAATTGATTTTTGGGGTATTTTGAAATCGGAAACAACTGTGTTCAAACGGTCGATCCCTGCATAGGATAGGTAGGGAGTCACTATACCCTTTGAACCTTCCCTCGTGAAGACATGTTTACTCTACTGGCTATATGGTAGAACGCGATGTCTTTGAACCGACTGCCGTTTGTGTAGACGATGACATATCTCACACAGGAATCTCCCAACCATGCTCTTGCTCTCATGAGTGTGCCCGTTTTGGTCGTGGGTCACCGTTCCTGGTTCTGCGAGAGTTTCTAAATAATTGTGCACAACAATTCTCCTTTGAAGCGACCCTCACTTCTCTCTAACATAGGTGATTCTTTCTCGAGTATCCCGCATACTCAAGAATCATTAAAGCATTAACATGCTAGCTTCTTGCGGGAGTCACTATTTTAACGAGGAGTGGTAGGGAGTCCGAGACCCCCACAGTGACGCGCTTCGTTCCATAATTTAGTTGTCCCATTGAACCTAGGTGCCAGCTAGGTTGGGTATCCACTGTAGAACTTTTTAGTCCAAGGGCATTAGACCCATTCCTCGTGTCAACTTCTCCACAACTTCTCTTCCTAACCCTTTGGTCAGCGGATCCGCTATATTGTCTTTTGACTTTACGTAGTCAATCGAGACAACACCAGTTGTGAGCAGTTGTCTAATGGTATTATGTCTACGACGCACATGTCTAGACTTACCATTATACATATGACTCTGTATTCTCCCAATGGTGGCATGACTATCGCAATGCACACATATTGGAGGTACCGGTCTTTCCCAATTAGGAATATCCTCTATAAAATGGCGTAGCCATTCAGCCTCTTCACAACCTTTGTACAATGCTATCAGCTCAGATTCCATCGTAGATTTAGCTATCACAGTTTGCTTAGAGGATTTCCATGCAACGGCTGCACCGGCTAGTGTAAACACATAGCCACTCGTGGACTTAGAGTCCTTAATATCAGATATCCAATTCGCGTCGCTATACCCTTCAAGTACAGCGAGATATCTTCCGTAGTGCAGTCCAAGATCACGAGTATACCTCAAGTATATCACAACCTTTACTATTGCCTTCTAGTGCATAGCACCGGGGTTACTCGTATATCTACTGAGTTTACTAACCGGATAGGCAATATCCGGCCTAGTACAGCTCATAAGATACATCAAACTACCAATAACCTGAGTGTGACACCCCAAAATCCAAATTCAATTAATGGATTAATTGAGTAATTAATCCTATTTCAATTGGTGAATTAATTCCTAAAATCATGAAAATTCAATACTTGGGGACTAGTAATTGACTAGTCAACCCTAAAGTCAAAGTTGTACCTTGAGCTTTGAAGGGAGTTCCCTTGTCCCTTACACTTCCTAATGTTAGTAAGGGCATTCTTGACCTTTCACATGGTGTTAGTATTGTAACCTAACCTAGTAGACCATCTTCATTCTATCCCTTACACTTTCTAAAAATCTAGCTCTACCTTCTCTCTAAAAAGGTGAGTAGCTTTTCTTCCAAGCCATGTTGGGACCATGCCAAGACCTCAAGAGTTGCTTCCAAGATTCAACCTTTCTTATATTTGGGCATCTAGGAGGGTAAGATCTAAGTTCATCTTGTGTTTTTGGTTTCATCTTAGGTTTCTTTTCTTAAAGGTAGGATCTTTATGATCTTTTGGTTTGTTCTTGAGTGGGTTTGGAAGGTGAGCCTTCAGGAGAGCTTGTTAAGGTGTAAAGTGAAGTCTTTTAGTCTACAAGAGGTAACCCATGCTCTACAAAATCTATTTTGCTTACCTATATGTGATTTCTTGGATTTTACTTGTGTTTTGCTATGAAATGTGAGTGTTTATGCATTGTCTTATGAAAATGCATATCTAGAGCTTGTGTTTAGGGTTCTTTTGTACCATTGCTTGGCATTTCCTATGATTCAAGTCATTTTGTTGTATTGGGTGAGGTTTGACATGTTTTGGACTTGAATTTGAGTTTGGAGATGAATTTCGCGAAGTGTGTTGTTGTGGTATAGGGTGTACCCGCGGGCGGAACGACGGGTAGGGGTCCAACCCGCCGCCCACCCGCGGGATACACAAGATGGGGAGCCTGTACCCGCGGGTAGAGGCCTACCCGTGGGCTTACCCGCGGGTACGTATTGTGGTGTGATTGGGGATTTGTTCCCGGTGATTCTTTTGACTCGGTATTTGGTCTTTTGAATTTCCGATGTTCTTTTGTGGAACTATTTGAGTGTCTTCTTGATGTTTCGTATGTCTATAACTATATGGTAGGAAGCCATGTAAGTCTTTGGTGTCTTGAATCGTGCTAAGTGTTCAACATTGTGTTTCGTTGAACCGTGATGAGTCTTATGTGTTCCTCGGAACTACCTTTAGTTTACCCGTTTGATGAGCATGCTAGTTTGGTGTTTGAATGCTAGCGTGTGTGTTGTTTGTACCTTCCGATTGGTTGATGATAACTTGTGTTATTCATCATTGTTGTTGTTGGGCTGTGACCCATTCCTTGATCGAGTATATTTCATATCTTTTTGTGATCCGTTGATTGATTCCTGTTGAAGTGTGGTGTGTGTGGCTTTACCTGGATTGCACGATTAGTGGTGTGGGACACTAGTCACCAAGGTATTGCAGCGGTCCTCGTGGTGGCTGTGACGTGATTATGGAGTTGTGACCTTTGTGTAAGGTTCACGTGATTCTTGGGTGGCATGTGTTGCCGTGTGTGTGATCGGTACCCTCGTGTACTATGAAATCGGTGGTTCTGTTGGAGAGGGGACGACGGTCCTCGGAGGAATAAGGTTGGAACTAGACATAAGGTTGGGGGTAGCCATAAGGTTGGAATCGGGCATAAGGAAGGCATATCAACTCGGGATGAGTGATGTCACGAGGGCTTGTGTAGCCGTGGTTGTGTGTTCTCTTCTTGTGACGTGTGTAGTCACAAAGGCATGTGTTTCCACGGTCTTGTCTTTATCCTTGAGTTGTTGTTGTCCTTTGTAGTCTTGGGATGTGTTCACGTGCTATTGTTGAGAGTGTTGAGTCTTGTGTTGGCTATTACTCTTGGTTTTACACTTATATATATGTATTCCGTTTTGAAAATGGTTTTACAACTTATACCTTACTTATGTATGTTATTTCACATGTATTGGTGGGTTACCAGCATCATTCGCTGACCGGGCGTCGTCCCATGTTTTATTGTGTTCTTTCAGGTGATGTCAAGGCGAGTGCGCAGTCTAGTGCCTGTTAGCTGGCAGGGTTGTCGAAGCCTTACAAATTTAATACTGGCTCACTCCACTAATTTGTAGTAGTGGCAAGACCAGGTCGAATCCCAAGAGAACTAATGAACTTCGTTTCTTAAATTAAAATAAAATGACTCAAAGTAGGGAAAATTGGGGGATTTGAGAAGAATAAATAAAATAGACAATAATTAATAACGAGTTCAGAGATATTGAATTCTGATTCAAGGAAGAATGAATGTCAAAGATGTGATTCAGATCATCGGCCTCTTACAAGTAAAGTTCAGATTCAAGTACTTAGCCAAAGACTAAATAGGATAGCCATAATTAGCCTTTGATTTCCCTAAATTAATTGATTCAAACCAAGCATTCAAACCAACATTTGTTATTGAATAAACTGGGGACGATAGCGTTCCATATTCACCCAATAATATCATTACACTTTAATGAAAAATAACTAAGCTTAAATCACAGATTGAGATAGCTACAACCTGCAACTTAGTCTTTATGCCCTTTGTGTAGTAATCACAACAATATAATTAATACAAGCTACTCGGTCCAATCGTTTATGACAATTACGGATCATAAACTCATAGATAGCAATAGGATAAAAATAATAATAAACTAAGTCGTCAATTTAATTTATTATCAGTATTCTTGAAAAATTAACTTTGAAAGAGCAGGAAGTACATGAATCCAACAAATTAATTGAAATAAAGTCTCCCTAAATTCACAACTAAAACTTCAATCCCTTGAATCAGATTAATAAAATCTAGCCCCGCATCTTCCCTAAAATTACATCAGAATAGCTCTCCTTTTATAGGGTTTCAAATAAACAATCTTCCCTAAAATTACTGCTCTTACCGCATCTTTCTCTACTAGTTTCATCTTCAAATAGCTTGTTTAATTTCCTCCAAAACTCTTCCACGAGCGAACCGCTTAAAGCGTCGCTGGCCGAAGCCTTTTCTGTGTTCCCTCCGTTCGTTCCGCTGTCTTCCTATTCGTGCGTAGCGTCAAAGAAAAAGAACAAAAATAAACAAAACAAATAAATGAAACTATGCAGCTGTACTGCCGCATAAGTTAAAGAATAACTTGGGAAAAAGAAAACATAGGTTAAGCAATAATTAAGATAGACTAATTAACAAATGGGCCCACTATTAATATTAAGCTTAGAGTTAATCAACGATTTGGTCCCTCAATTATTGCCAAACTGTGAATGTAGTCCTTTAATTCTTTATTCATCCCGAAAATAATTGTTTTTAGTCGATTTACTCCATCCTATCGTCTTCCGTCAACAAACCGGCGAGAACTCCGATTTGGCAAGGGCATTTTGGTCTTTTCTTGTCTTCAACCCTCTTCTTGGTCCGATCAGATCGCTAGAATCATGGAGAGCGAAAACCGATGGTGTTTCTTCGCCGGAAACTCTAGGAATAACTTACAGTGTAAAGATCCAACTAAGAATTAGGAGCGGAAGGATTCACCGGAAAATCAAGCAACAGAGGATCGACGAGAAGGGAAAGATGAAGATGAAGATGAATAAAACTATTGAGATTGGGCTGGTTGATGGTTGTGCAGAGTCCCTCGTCGCTCAAGAACTTGACGCTCCCCGCCTTCTTGGCGAACTGGTCATGATAGATGGTTGCGGTGGAGAAGAAAATGGGGTTAAGCCGAGTGCGAGGAGGAAGCTGTTTGATATTGAATGGAAATCCGAGGACTTGACAGTGCTAGCTATCAGGCTTTATGAACCCATTATTTTCACCGGAATACGTGGCTGCATCGCTCTGTCAGTACGTTACAAACTGGATTTTTTCATATGGAAAACGAGGAGATAACATTAACAACTCAACAATGTACAAAAAGAGCTCCGAGAGAGAAGTGATTGAAACAATTCAGAGACTGTTACCTGATGAGAAAGGGCTGATTTCTTGCAGATCGCTGTTTGAAATGCTGCAATCTGCGATAGCGTTGGGTGCTAGCGTCGAATGCAAGGATGGATTGGAGCTCAGAATCAGAAAACAGCATGATCTGGCAACGGTCTAGGACCTGTTAAAACTATGTCAATTATACACGAAAGAAGAAAAATACGACACAAAATGTGTGAAGAGAATATTGAAAAAATACTACTGCAATTACACCAGCTTCCTTTTTCTTCACCATCTTCATCTTCCTCTTCATCTTTCCCTTATCGGCGATCCTCTGTTTCTTGATTTTCCGGTAAATCCTTCTGCTCCTAATTCTTAGTTGGATCTTTACACCGTAAGTAATTCCTAGAGTTTCCGGCGAAGAAACACCATCGGTTTTCGCTCTCCATGATTCCGGCGATCTGATCGGACCAAGAAGAGGGTTGAAGACAAGAAACGACCAAAATGCCCCTGCTAAATCGGAGTTCTCGCCGGTTTGTTGACGGAAGACGGAGGGACTAAATCGACTAAAAACAATTATTTTCGGGGACTAAATTGATGATTAAGGAATTAAAGGACTACATTCACAGTTTGGCAATAATTGAGGGACCAAATCGTTGATTAACTCTTAAGCTTATTATTAACTTATTTATCCTATTATTTATTTAATAAGTTCCTTAATCCCAACATAGCAAAATAAACTAAAACTAATGAAATATATAATATAAATAGTAAAACTAACATATAAAAGCTTATTTAAATTAAGGTATAAAATATGCTCATCATTAGCATAGCTTCTCCCGTTGGTTTTATGGCTTGTGTGCCGATCTAGTTGTAGATTTTTAGACTTTGGATAGTTGTAAACAATGCAGATATTGCCGTAGCGTTCATCCTTGTTGGTGAACGTGGCAAAACACCCCATGACTTGGATTTATGTTTATCCAGTTATCTTTTAGTCTTCCGCTGTGTTAGTTGTTTAATTGTGTTACCTGCATGTGTTAAGGCTTTTTATAGCATGTGTTTTAGGGAGTGTTACACTGAGCATATTCCACTTGTGAAATACCTTATTTGTGGTTCTTGGTTAGATGAATGTTTGTATCAAATGGTGTCCTAGCCACTTGACTATCATCCTTGTTAAATTTCTCAAGGATTTTGTCAATATAATGTGATTGGCTCAACACAAGACCATCAGGTCTTCTAATGATTCTAATCCCGATGATTAAATCGGCCAAACCCATATCTTTCATGTCAAATCTCGCATTTAACATGTTTTTGGTAGACTTGATCATCCGATCATTACTACCAACGATGAGAATATCATCGACATATAAACAAAGAATGACGTAGCCGTCTATCGTTTCCTTAACGTAGACGCATTTGTCACTTTCGTTTATTTTAAACCCGTTAGTTAACACCGCATGGTCAAACTTCTCGTGCCACTGCTTAGGCGCTTGTTTTAAACCATAGACCGATTTAACCAACTTACACAATTTCCTTTCTTGGCCCGAAACCATAAACCCTTTGGGTTGTTCCATATAGATTTCCTCATCTAATTCGCCATTTAGGAAAGCAGTTTTCACATCCATTTGATGAACTTCCAAGTTCCGCAACGCGGCTATGGCAAGTATCATTCTAATGGAGTTTATTCTCGTCACGGGAGAATACGTGTCGAAGTAATCGAGGCCCTCGCGTTGCCTGTAACCCTTGATTACAAGCCTATCCTTATACTTCTCGATGGAACCATCCGGTTTCATCTTCCTTTTAAAGACCCACTTGAATCCTAAGGGTTTACTACCCGGAGGAAGATTAACAAGTTCCCAAGTGTGATTCTGTAGAATAGAACTTACTTCACTTTTTGTAGCCTCGTTCCACATTGGTCCTTCCGTAGAAGTTGCAGCTTCTACATACGTTCAAGGCTCGTTCTCTATCAAACAATATAGAAAATCGGGTTCGTTTTCTAATAAACAAGTTAGAACCCGAATCGTACTCTAACAAGTAATAGCCACTTAACATGCCGTTTTATGCCATTTTAAGCTATTTTTTCCAACAAAATGTTCCTCATTTGACGGTCAACTAACAAAATTAATAGATAGATGACCAAAATTGTCCTCGTCATAATAAGTGTATACATAAATTGTCTAATTTTTTTATGAAGGACTAAAATTATCCGTGCCCTTATAAGTCTAACCAAAAATGTCTTTTACTCAAAATTTTATTATTGATTTAAAATAGGTATATTATTTTTGACTGATGAGGAAAATCTGTCACCAACTCACCATTTAAGCTTTTAAGGTGTGCACGGAATAACCACATCCCCTCTATGATAACTATATTTTGGTTTGAATGGAAGTATGATGTGTATTGGAGGACAAGTGGATAACTCACACGAGCGAGAAGACAACGACGAAGCTGCTGATGACCATAAATAATTGAAGGGCATTAATGTACTTTTACCTTCTTGGACTAGTTATAACTGTCATTCCCTCTCTGTATATTAGAACAGTCTCTTCCTCCCAGATGTAACTACAACTTTAATTCCAATAATACTTTTTCCCGTTCTCCTACCTTTAACCTAATTGCATGTAGCTTCATCGGTCAATGTGGGCGATGGAAAATTATTTGGTGGTTTCGGATCCATTTTGTATACTAAATTTACACACTGAATGTTCACAATTTTATAAAAAGTAAATTGTGAATATTTAGTATGTAAATTTTGAATATTATGTAAATATGTATATAAATTTTGAACATTCAATATGTAAATTGTATATTTTAAATCGAAGATGGACCGCGCCTATAGTATAACTATTGGTGGGTGATACTAGTGGACAAATTTGCTTTTGGAAAGATATATGATGGATTATTGCTTTTGGAAAATTAAAGAAAGAAGTCATTGCTTTTAGGTAGTGGCAGACAATTTGTGTTAAAGAAAAAAAGTAATTGCTTTTGGAAATAATTGAATCAAAATAAATAAACTCATTATACATAAATTATACTTTACTAGCTTACTAGGTGAAGTTGATTAGTATAAAAATTAAAGAACTAAACTCATTATTATGATATTATCAATATAATCATAATCCACTTACCCGAATATATACTCATTCCAGGACAACTGACTATTGTTTTGTTAGACTTTAGTTGTTAATTAATAGTTTGAAATCTAATACTTATACATATGTTTGTTGTTATCAGAAAATTAAATTAGAGTAATCATTTGTTATAAATTGCAGTCCAGCTAGAAAAATTAAATTACAGTAATGAACATAATCGTACATAAATAAATTGAGACAGTGAGAAGTTGAGTTAATGTCACATGGGATCCTCCGAATATACTGGTTTTGCTACGTTTAGTCCTAAACTTTCAAATTGACTATATGTGGTTCTTCGGCTTTCAAATTTAACCATTCGTGGTTCAAGTTAACCATTAACGAGCCTTCAACTTTCAAAATTTAACCACCTGTGATCCTCTTGAAAGGACCATGAGTGATTAACTTGGACGACGAATTGTTAAATTTGAAAGTTGAAGGATCACAAATGGTCAATTTGAAAGTTTAGGACTAAACATGGCAAAATCACTATACTCGGAAGACCTCATATGGTATTAACTTGTGAGAAGTTTAAACAGTTAAACACTAGCTTAATTTTTTATTTTTCAAATCACTATATAGTTTTTACCTTGAACAAGTTCTTGTAATTGTTGATATAATTCTCATTGGTTTGAAGTAAGGACCCATTTTTTTTCTCATGAACACCTTCCTTTCTCTCAAACTCCTTACCTCTCTATCCCCACTCCTCCTATCCAACACCTCTTAGCTTTACCCCACCAAAGAGGGGTAGCAATTTGACATGAATTTCGGTGAAAGTATTTTGCATGTTTGGTAGTAGGGTGTGTGGAATTGGAATGATTACCAATATTGATGTTTGGTTGTGTATGATCCTATAATGGGAATAAATATTTAAAAAATACAAAAATAAAAAATCAAGGCAATTGATCGTAATATAATGACATCCAATGCATCAAAATGAACCAAAAAAAAAAATTAAAACAAAAATCTAAAAGTACTAATCCAAAAATAAAAATTGGATGACCAATAAGATTGAAATGATACCACTTTTTTAATTAGGGAATGAGATTTTTAATTGAAAGGTTAATCAAATCTCATAGTTAGGGTTGTGTTTTAAAAAAGTTATCAACCAAATAATAACTATGATTTTGATTCTCATTCCTAGTATATATATAAACCAATGAACCAAATACACTCTTAATTCTTCCTCATCAATCTCACAACTCACATTTTCCTAACCCGCCCAAGTATAAGAATTGGACTTCACGTCACTCCCTCACTTGCACTCTGGCTTTCCATTGGTGTGAAACGCCATCATTAATGTGTTACAAAAATGCCACGAAAATTTGTAAAGTGCGGATTGATATTGTATTGATTTGTGTTCAATATAATTTAAAAGTTTGTTTGAATTGTGTAAATATCGTGTATATATTTGTCTTTACACTAGTTGATGTAAATTCGCATGATATTGATAAGTACGATAAATTTTCTTAAAATTTGTATATTGACTAATTTAGTAGAATTGCATATTTAATAAAGTTATAATATATGTTTTGTTATTGATAATATAAATAAGAAAAATTAGGTGAGAGGACTAGTGCTTAGTGTCTATAAGAACGACCCCATCAAATTATGTGAAACTCTAGAGTAAAGATGCCAAGGCTTGATCATGTTGTGTCCATATCCGGTCACAATCTACCATTCAACAATTTTTATTTTTATTTTTTGTTTAAAAACAGGGGCGGAGGGACGTATGGTGGTGCAAATCAAAATCCTTCTAGAAGAGTTCAAAAGGCTTGATTCAAGCCCGAGCTCGCGTGCGCGGGCACGAATTTTGGCTGGCCTCGCGGGCACGAATTTTGGCTGGCCTTGCGGGCACGAATTTTGGCTGGCCTTGCGGGCTAAGTTATGCCAAACGACAGAATCATTTTCCAACATACGCCACTGGAGGTGGCCGAAACCACGGAGGTTTCGGCCTAGCTGCCTAGATGGTTTCGGCCTAGGGTCGAAACTTCCTTCCAAGTTTCGGCCTGGGGTCGAAACTGGAAGTTTCGGCCTACACGAACCTGTGCAGTTCTGTGACCGTTGGGTGTTCAATTCTACTATTACGGAATTAATTTTGAGTTAATTCCAATTTTATTTTTCGAATTGAAACCCAGGTTTAAGGCTGCTGTTACAGGAAGGTGAAGGGGTGCCCTTAAGTGCCATATTAAATGCTATTAAATCCTTCACCCCTATATAAATAGGAGTTGGGTAGTAGAGTTTTATACACAGAATCACACAACACGAGAGTATAGTTTTCAGCTTCAAAAATCTCTGCTTCTACTCCTTCTTAGCCATACTTTGTTCTTAGCCTGTCTTGCTCGCCGGATTCCTTGTTTGAGTGCTCAAACATTGAATCACTAGCAAGTTTTATCCTGGGAAGCCTAGGCCACAACGCTCCTAGCATCTACGCGAGGTGACAAATAAGATTTTAAGGAAAGAGTGCTCACTTGACTCTTGTAAAAACCCAACACCAAACACTAGCCATATTTCTCCATCTTTCATTCCCTTTGTTTTTCAAAAAATAATAATTTTATTTTTGATTATTATTTGTTTTTCTACCAACGATTCCTACAGAACATACTACTCTTTTGTTCAACAGGTCAAATGTCATCCACGTACACAGTCATAAGTAAGCACAAGAAGGAGATCACATGTCTAGATCATGGTTGCTTGAGCTCACAAAATTAAGGCTGCGCTGTGTATTTGGATTGAACTTAATTTACCGCATGCTGTATACTATATAATATAATAATAAAGAAATATTGCTGGAGCTGACATGATTCGATCAAGTCTGCTCTTATCCATTTCATAATTATTACAATCAGCTCTATTGTGTTCATTTATGTGCATTTTCAAGTGAACATACCAAAATTATTCATGTATCGAAAAATGATTAATGTTCTACTCTTAGGGTCTCTTTGGAAACTCCAAAAATAATTTCTTAAATTTTTCAGTGTTGGGATACTTAAAAAAATGAAGTCAACGAAAAATATTCATTTTAGTCAACAAAAAAGCTGAATTTAGCAAAAAATGTCTTCTTAATTTTTAAATTTTTTTTTTCTGATTCTTTATTTTCCATCTATCTTTCCTATCTTCTTTTTTTTAAGTTAGTTTTTTTACTATTATTATTACCACTACCACCACAATTACCATTGTACTACAACACAACCACACTATCACCACAACCAACACCACCATCACCAAAACCATCACACCACACCTTGTTGCAAATCATGGCAATAGTCGACCAAAGTTCATTTTTTTCAGCGTCGACAATTGATTGATTCGTACACACCCCGAGTCAATTAGCTAGTTCCATCAATGGTGCTTTCATCAAGAACTCGACATACAAGCTCAAGCATGATATCTACGACTATCATCATTCATTCATACGCACTACAAGAGAAACAGAACACAACGCAACACTCCATTTTTGTAGCCATAAATTTTTTTACAGATCTAGCTTAAAGAAAATCAGGCCACGCCCACTAAGAGAAAAGAGACGACATGGAGGAGGAGTATACGAGGAAGAAGATAATTGCAGGCAAAATTGAGTGAAAAGATTAAGGGGTGGCCTTTCGTTGGAGAACATCAGTACAGGTGTTAATATTTTTGTCTAGCAGTTCACCTTGCCTTTTATAAAGCGGAAGGCAGACTTGCACAATTTATCAGCTCATACAATAGACAAAGCTTAGACAATACTTATTGTAACTAACCTAACAGACTAAGTAATTAACCAACTTTCTGTTAGTAGTCTCTGTATATATAGCTTCACTGTTACATTGTTGAACTTCTTGAATGAAATACTTTTTCTGTTTCTCCACATTCTTTCTAGCTTCTTCTTCATTTCGTGAAATGGTATCAGAGCCATAATCATGGCTTGGCGAACACCCAGTGTTAACATGGTGCAGCAAGCAACGACTTCGAATGAGGGACTCGGTGTAACACCCCGTGTTACGACCTTCAAGTCCGAATAAATTACTAAATTAATTTCACTAATTAAAATAATTAAAATGGGATTTAATCCAATTATAATTCCCTTAATTAACTCAGGTGGTCCAGGATGAATTGTGAACATTTACCTGAACCAGGAACCTTAAGCCCACAGGGAATAAGGTAAGCTGGCATTATTATTCAGAGTTTCAGACCTTGAATAGGTTTCCCCTAAACATATAAATAGGAGATTATGAAACAGATAGAACCCTTCCTCTCCCCTCCCTCACTCGAAATTACTCGCAGGAACTCCAGCCGAGGAAATCCCCCACCAACAGGCCTAGGAAGATCAATTGGAAGGAGAATCTTAGGGAAGAACCTTAGTAGCCAGGGATATTGGTTAGGGCTAAGAGGTAACCCATGTCTTACAAAACCCATTTTCCTTGCTATATCTTATTCATTGGCTCCTTTGATATATGATTCTGTGTTTGAGTCTTGATAGAGCTTTGTTTAGGGTTTATATTGTGTTTATATGATAATCTTGATGTTCTTGACATTGTAATTAATTATGTGAATGATCTTGTATTTTGATTATGTCTAGAGCCCTAGGGTTTATATCGTGAATTTCGTATTATGATGATCTTGGTATATTTGGGTGGGATTATGCATGATCAAGTGTTGAGTCTATCCTAGGACTTGTGTTTAGGACCTTGCATATAGATTTCTTGATATTCCTTTGGTTCCGGATGCTCCTGAACCCTATATAATTAATGTTGAGTCTTGGTATGTTTAGGAATCGTGTTAGAAAATATTTGGTATGATTCTTGGTTTAATCCCGTTAATTTACTATGTGGTGTTGTCATTATGTGTTTGAATGTGTTTGGACATGGTTTCGGGTTCCACGAGAGATCCTGGGACCGAAAGTTGCCTGAGAGTCAGTGGGGGGTAGGGGTGCCCGCCACCTACCCGCTGCCCATGGTTACTATTCCAGCGGGCAGCCGGCGGGCAGGCGACTGCCCGCTGGAATAGTATGTCACCGCCGGCGGGTGGTCCTCCATCCGCCACCCACCTGCTGGAAACCCGGCGTGGTTCATGGTGTTTTTTCACGTTTGATGTTTCCTATTGTCCCATTTTACCCCGGGTATCGTCCTAGGAACTTATGTGTAAT